GCACACCACCAACCACCATCTGACTAGAATAAGGTACCCTGGTGGCACAGTGCTTAAGTGCTCAATAGCTGATGGAAAGTTGGTGATTGGAACCCAGTAGTCACTCCTAGGGAGGAAGAAGGCTACCGCCTTGGAAACCCCTATGGGGCAGTTCTCTCTGTCCTACAGGGTCGCTTTGAGACGGAGTCAACCTGACACAATGGGATTTGGTCCTACTAGAAGAAGGCTGATTTCATCAAAACTTCAGACTGCACTAAATCCTGTTGTTGTGTGTGTACCTTTGAGTCAATTCTGAATTTGGCCATCAAAGCAAGTCCCAGGCCCCACAAAACTATAAATTCACCATCAGAAAAGAATATAGATTTGTGCTTTCTCTAAAAATCCACTACCTTACTCTTTTCTTCCATGCTACCAGAGTCACCAAACTAATTCAGCTTTATCACTTTTCTCTTAAGAAGTATCACTACAGAAAAAGAAGTGAGAAGCCAGTAGCAGTGATTAAATTTTCAAAACCACTTCCATTTTGCACTGTAATCATTTTAAATGTTCTATTTTTAATGCTCACAGAGTTTAAGGGGAGCTCGGTAGCTTTAGGGGAGAAGCTCTGGACTGCAAATTACAAGGTCAGTGGTTCAAGCGCCCCTGGTAGCTCTGTGGAAGACAGATGATGCTCTCTGCTGCCGCCAAGATTTACAGCCTCAGAGACCCCCTATAGTGTTGCTACGAGTTGAAACTAACTCCACAGCACTTCACAAGAGTGGTGTTCTGTTTTGTTGTAATTTTAAGTAACGTTTAGATCACTGTAGTTGTGGCTATTAAATGCCTTGGAGTCGATTCTGAGTCAAAGTGAACCTGTATAGGATTTCTAAGGAGCAGCTGGTGGGTTTGAACTGCGAACCTTGCAGTTGGCAGCCCATTGTTTAGCAGTCCTAAAGTGCCACACCATGTGTGACTCTATCTCAATAGCTCTATATTAAAAGGGAAGAAATCTCCTATTCTCAGAAGAGATCAGCTTGGGAACTCCATCATCCATATCTCAGAACTCTGGCTTCTCCACACCCTGAAAGTGTATCACCCAGTTATTTTTAATCACTAGTAACAGCAGTATGGATATCAATAACAATAGCTAATATTCACCATGGCTGTCTAGGGGCAAGAACTGCTCTGGGCCCTTTGTAAACACACATGCCATCTAACATTCACACCAACCCTCTCGGGGCAGCACTATGGTTAGCACCCCCATCTTACAGATAAGAAAACTGAGGTACAGAAAGATTAAGCCATTTGCTCTGGTTCACACTGGATGCTAAATGGCCATTGCGCTTCTGAGGCTTTCCTGTTGAAAGAGAGTCCTGAGGTACCCATTCCCTGAAATAGGAGGGAGAATGTTAAATCATCAGGTTATCCGGTCTCTGCTCCAGATAGTGTGAGGGAGGTTCAAGAAATTTGTGGGAAAACAGAATTAAAAGAGAATGGAATTTTCACATGAACCTCTTCATCTCAAGACTGCTAGCAGGTCTGAATCTGGGTGTCCAAAGGCTGTAAAGTACTCGGGAAGCTTTTTTTTAAGTTTATTGTGAATTTTGTGATAAGTTTACATGGGAGAACATTAGCTTTACATTCATCCTATCATAAATCGTTTCATTGCCATGGTTACAATCCCCTCCATGCATCATCAACCAACCAAAGGGTATACTCTGCAATCCTCTCTGGGTCTAGAGTTCCCAGCCACTCCATCTCTCCACATCATCGTCTCTTGCTCCATCTCTGGCGTCACTGTTTCTCTGGGTAGGGTCCCACTCTCCTCTCTTCTCCCTTGATGGTTCCAGAGCCCTCCGCTCCTGGACTGCAAAGCCAACCACTCCCCTCCTTTTGTTACAAAAGGTCTACCTTTACATTTGCGACCCTCACAGTCAGTCCTGATAGCAATCATTCACTATTGTACCACAAGAAACCTAGCCCCATCTCCTTCCACCAGCTTTTACATGAGAGAACAACAGCCCAGTCAGCTCTGCTCTGGGCTTCCCTGGGCATCTTTCACCAGACTGCCTCCCATAGTAGAAACGGCTCCGCTGTCTCACACGACACAAAGCTACACAAGGCTGGAGGACACTGCTGTGCTGCCCACAGAGCAGGTTTTCAACTTCTTCCAGCTGTTTTCATTTTTGCCTCCTTTCATCAAGGGGGGGGGGGGGAGGGCGGGAAATCTCCAAAATCCCATAACCTTCTCAGGAAAAGGCCTTCCCAAGTCTTCCCTCAGCAGGGAGCAGCACAGGAGATGTGCTTTTTAGGGGGATAGAAGGCCCCCTGAAATCGGGAATGTGGGGCACATCTGGGCACTTGCTAGTGTACTGCCCGCCCAGTCGATTCCACCTCGTAGCGACCCTATACGGGGTTTCAGAGACTGTAAATCTGTATGGGAGCAGACAGCAGCCAACCTTGTCATTAGCAGCCAAATGCCTTGCCCACAGTGCCACTAGGTCTCCTCTGGAAGTGGACTAGAGGCAGGATTCAAACCAGATCCCAGACCACTGCCAAGTTCTGACAGAACCACATCACATCAGAACCATAGCAGAGGAAGGAGGGTCAGGACACACGAGTCACCTCCCAGCGGGCCTCGCTTGGCTCTCGAATAGCTGAGGCTACAGGGCACTCAGAGTCACCTCTGAGCCGTGCCAGACTCTTGTGAGCAATCCCACAGAGGGAGCACCGACTTCACTGGTTCCTGAAGGTCGGGGTCTGTGGAGTCTTTGTTGATGATGGCTGATGGTGTCATTCAGAGGGAAAAATCAGTTTAACACTTTCAGGAATGAGTTATTTTCTGCATTGAATATTTTGTTGAAACCATGTGTTTTCAGTAGTGGAAGGCATTTTGCAAGCAATGGAAAAAAAAATGTTTCTGAAGTCATATGGATTTTGGTACAATTCATGGGGTACCTATGTCCCAAAAAAGCCTTGGTTCTAGACTTGGTGGCAAGAGGCCTGTTTCTTCAGCTATTCAGCCCTCCACCACAGGGCAGCACACACTAAAAGTTGGGATACTAGCCTCCCACTAAACCCCAAAGGTAGAAAATGTATGTGGGTTCTATATGTCCTACAGGTCACAAAAGAGTTAAGACAGTCCCACATTCGATGCGCGTTAATTAGAGGGGACAGTCTCTTTTGGAGGTGGTGGAGAAAATGCCTGAAAATCACATGGACAAAAAGTTCCCAGCATTTTAGTGTACAGCCTTGAGCTCTGCATCATGTGACTCCCTGGGACCAGCACAATATGGCGGCCACATGCTGAACCACTAAGGGCAAGTTCATCCCTTCAGAGCCAAAAGATGCAAATTCAACTCAAAGGGGGGGTATGCTCTACTTGTTTTCCCGCTCTTCACTGACAGCACATGTTAGCCAGGGAGACTCAAATCACTATACTTCATCAACCAGGCCTCAGACCCACTAGATTCCGGAGCTAGATTCATTCAACATGTTGTTGTTGTTGTTAGGTGCCATAAAGTCGGTACTGACTCATAGCGACCTGATGCACAACAGACGGAAACACTGCCCGATCCTGGGCCAGCCTCACTACTGTTGCCATGCTTGAGCCCACTGATGCAGCCACTTCGCCAATCCATCTCACTGGGGGTCTTCCTCTTTTTATCTGACCCTCCACCCTACCAAACATGATGTCTTTTTCCAGTGACTGGTCCCTCCTGACAATACGTCTGAAGTATGAGAGACAAAGTCTGGCCATCCTGCCTCCAAGGAGCACTCTGGCTGCACTTCTTCTAACACAGATCTGTTGGTTCTTTTGGCAGCCCATGGCACTTTCAATATTCTCTTCCAACACCATAACTCAAAAGCATCAATTCTTCTATGGTCTTCCTTATTCACTGTCCAGTTTTCACATGCATATGAGGTTACTGAAAATACCATGGCTTGGGTCAGGCGCACCTTAGTCCTCAAGCTGACATCTTTGCTCTTCAACACTTTCAAAAGGTCTTGTGCAGCAGATTTGCCTAATGCAATATGTCGTTTGATTTCTTGACTCCTGCTTCCATGAGTGTTGATAGATGATCCAAGAAGAATGAAGTCCTTGACAACTTCAATCTTTTCTCCGTTGATAAGAATATTGATTATTGGTCCAGTGGTGAGGATTTTTGATTTGTTTATATTGAGATGCAATCCACACAGAAGGCTGTGCTCTTTGATCTTCATCAGTAAGTAATTTTAAGTCCTCTTCACTTCCAGCTAGCAAGGTTGTATCATCTGCATATCACAGGTTGTTAGTGAGTCCTCCTCCAATCCTGATGCCACGTTTTTCTTCATAGAACCCAGCTTCTCGAATGATTTGCTCAGCAGACAGGTTGAATAAGTATGGTGAAACTATACATCCCTGTTGCACACCTTTCCCAATTTTAAACCATTCAGTGTTCATTCAACATAGAAATGAGGAAAAGGAGCCTCAAATGAACTCCACCACAAAATGCTGCCCAAGGGTTCTAGAGATCACCCGCTCATGGTGACCCAGCAGTGAATGGTAAGATCGGCGGGGATGCACCAAAAGCTGAATAAAATGTCTCCAGTGTGACCATCCACTCGCTAGCTCTGATCCGGTAATTACACTATCTATAATCCAGAGATCTGGTAAACTATACTATATATTATATACTATATACTATATACTATGTACTATGTACTATGTACTATATACTATATACTATATACTATCTAGATTTGACACAGTATCTGTACTACATATAGTACAAACAGCTGATAAACTAAACTATATACTATTTAGATCGGATACAATATCTACACTATGTATCACAGCTCTGACGTACTATCTGTATTGCCCAGATCTGACACTCTATTTACACTATATATAGTAGAGGGATCTGACATACCATCTATACTATATAGAGATCTCATACTAAAATAAGTCAGGCCTAGTTACTGCTCCGCTGGCTTGCCAGACCTCAGGGAACCCAGGCCCCAGGAAGGAGTAGACTTACCTGGCCGGTGTCTGTTGGCTACCTCAGCAGGAAGTGAGCTCCCGGGCAGCCTTCGCCCCGCTGTCTTCGCCCCAGTCCCACCACCGGGGTAGTGAGAGATGACAGAGGCGGAGCAGAGGCCTTCCAGGGCAGCTAGGCATGAAACAAACAAACAAGTAAAAGAACAATTAGTAAAGTGTGGTACATCATTACTTCCAGTAGCAATGGCTAAGGAGAATGGACAGCTGGGGTATCTGAAAAGGCCCAATTCTCCCCAAGACAACCATCACATTTCTACCTCACTGCTTCTATTACAAATGGGCATGTAACACCTCTTGTGTCTCCCCTGCCAAGGCTGACAGGTTTCACTGAGGGCCTGAGCGCCCATGATCCATGGGCTCGGCCTTCACTTAGCCATGTGCTCCCTGCAGGCTCTGAGCAGATTCTGGAGTTGAGAGACCAACAGCGGGAAGCATGCTGGTTTGAGAACATCTGAAATCATTCCAGCAAAGCAAGACCAGGACAGCTTTCCACAGGGGACACCCTAAATGCAGCAGCTGTGTCTGTAAATGTGTCGTCTTGGCCGCCGTGGCATTGTAGGAGCAGCACTGGATGGCGAACCACAAGGTCAGCGGTTCAAACCCACCAGCTGCTCCTCGCAAACTCTGTATAGACTCACTATCAATGAGTCAGAATCGACTCAAGAGTACTTAACAACAACATTCCTCTAGCAGCCAGATTATGAGACAGTGGCTGATTTTAAGCATTTCTTATATTTAGAGTGTTCTGGTGGGCGCTGTAGGATAAGCACTGGACTGCTGAACATAAGGTTGGTGCTTCAAACCCACCAGCTGCTCAGTGGAAACTCTATACAGGGTCAGTATGAGTCAGAACCCATTTGACGGCATTTAACAGCCTGTGTCCAACAGAACCCAACACTGCCCAGTCCTGCACCGTCCTCACAGTTATGTTTGAGCCCATTGACGCTGCCACGGTGCCAATCCATCTCATTGGGGGTCTTCCACTTTGTCTCTGACCCTCCACTTTACCTTCTCTCGGGTCTGGTCCCTCCTGATCACATGTCCAAAGTACGAGAGACGAAGGAAGTCTGCGCAGCCTCACTTCTAAGGAGCTCTCTTCCGAGACAGACTTCTTCCTTCTTCTGGCAGTCTGTGGTTTATTAGACGCTTTCATAACTCAAAGGCATCAACTGTTCGATGGTCTTATTCACTGTCCTACTTTTACACGCAGACGAAGCTACTGAAAATACCATGGATTGGTCACATGTTCCTTGGTCCTCAAAGTGACACCCTTGCTTTTTGAACACTTCAACGAGGTCTTCTGCAGCAGACTTGCCCAGTGCAATATGCCAATGTTTATTGGGTATCAAAATATTTTTCACCAGCACCATTCAAAGGCATCGGTTCTTCTTTGGTCTTCCTTCTTCACAGTCCAGGTTTTGCAGGCATATGAGACGGTTGGAAAGACCACTTGGTTAGACGTCTGCTGAAGAACCTCTTTGCTTCATTGTGACATTCAAATCTGATTCTCTATACTGCCTGCTTCTCTGAGGAAAAGTCCGACTTTGTCCTCATCCACACAGAGTTCATTCAGGAAGCACTCGTGAAGCATCCACGACACACTAGATGGTGAGCACTCCGAGGCCAGGAGGGAGAAGCCACAAGAACCGCAAGTCCGGCACAAGATGCCGTGAGGACCCACACAGAGCAGCGAGCGGCTGCAGGACCCCAAGAGCCATCCTTTGGTGGAGGTGTTTTTCTTCTCTCTTTGGCTTTTTAAATTGAGATACAGCTCACAGATGATCGAAGTCACCCTTCAGAAGCAACCAGTGCAGTGGACATTGGATACATTTACAAGCGTGTACACCCATCAGCACTGTCTGTCTCTTGCCCAGCCCCTGGCAACCACTCACCTACTTCCTGTCTATGAACTGGCCTCTCGTGGACATTTCATATGAATGGATCTTACCACATATGGCGTTTGGTGACTGGCTTCCTGCCCTGGGCATTGTGTTTTCCATGTTCTTCCACGTGGTGGCGTGGCTCATGACTGAACCATACCATGTGTCTCCATCCACCAGCGGTGCCTGCCTTCGGTGACGCAGGCGGGGCAGGGGAAGACGCACCATGGCATGGGGGAGCTGGTGGAATCAGTGGTGTGTGGGTGAGGCCTAGTGCTGCTTGTCTTTGGTGACCCAGTGCAGATCACCAGTTTCACACCATCCACCTTTGGTTAGGAGCCAAGAGCTTAACTCCGGCACCATCAGGGCTCCCTGAGTGAGGACTACGCAGGGGACTTCCTCCAGGAAGTTGAGAGTGTAGGGAGAGAAGCAGTTCTGCCAACCGCTTATACTACCAGCCAGGATGAGGGAATGAAGGAAGCTCTTCAGCAGAAGTCTAAGCAAGTGCTTGTCCACAACCCCACAGGGCCTGGGCGGGAGGGAGGAGCAGCAGGAGGTACCACAGGGGGGCGACCTGGATGGTGCCCCTACCAACCAGCCTAGGGCTGCGTACTCCTCCCTCACCCTTTCCTTTATTGTTCTAAAATTGTAATGAGAATAAACACAATACAATGTACACAAACTCAACAACTTTGACAAGGACAATTCGGAGACGTTCTTCGAGTTGCACAGCCATTCTCCCCCTCCTCTTCCAACGGGGACCACCCCTCCCACCCAACCCCCGTTACCAGAAACTCACCATCCTGAGCAACACCTCCCCCACCCCTCCCTCCCTCCCTTGCCCACTCGCCCACTCCCATCTCTGACAGCCACTAAGCACCTCCGACTCCCAGATGTGCTGATCTCAAGTATGGGACATTGTACAGAACTGGCCATTTGGCCACAAACTTGGACCATTGTCAAGGTACTCCCACACTCTGCCACGCAGCAGGACTTCACTGCTCTCTGTGGTTGAGCAACAGCCCATGTACGATGGGCCCCGTGTTGGCTGGTGGGCATCAGAGCCCGAGGAGGCCGCCTCCAGCACATTCCCTCACCTCCGAGCCACAGGAAGTCATTGACGGAGCGGAGAAGCTCCACCGACATGTGATAGTGCACCAGCGAGTCCTGCAGCATCCCGGCCTGGAGGCACAAGTCCCCCACATGCTTGCGCATGCGGCCTTGGCATCGCTTCTTGTAATGTCTGCAAGAGAAAAGGCAATGGGACAATATCATGACCTATCGCTGGCCTCCACCCCAAAAGCACACTCACTAAGCACTACTCCATGGCACTACGGAGAAATGCGAGGAAGGCAACGTTAGGCTTGGGTGCTGAAGGCCAACCAAGACTGCTACAGGCAATGATAGTGAAATGGTCTTCTAACCGCAGAGCACCGCCATCCAGTCGGCTCTTAAAGGTTATGTGTACGAGGCTACAACACCAAGGACTGCCATCGGGCCCCAGTTCATACATGCATGGGGTTAGTCCAAACAAAACCAGTCTGCCATCAGTGGGTGTCTGCAGACAAGTTCTCTCAGGAACAACCTGGTCTTAACCTCGCTCGGGGCATTCACAACAAGGGACCAAACACTGGCTTCCCAGGGGAGCTACTGGATCCATTCCATTCAAGGCAGAGAGGTCAGCTCAGGAGGCTATAGCAGCTGTTTTTTTGGAACTCCCAAGGGATGATCTTGGTAGATTTCCTCAAAGAACACAGAACGATCACGGGGGTTTATTAGGAAGAAGTTTCAAGAAAACAGAAAACTGCACAGGTGAAAAACAGGCCAGGAAAATGGCACCAGAGAATTCTGGGTTTTCCATTCCAAAGTGTACCAGCTCGTTCTTCGAGGGTAGCAAGGGCTGTCCAAGGAGAATTTCATTGGGAAACCTGACCCCGTCCACCCTACAGCCCTGATCTTCAGACTTCTTCTTGTTCCCAAAATTCAAAGAACACCAAAAAGAACACAATTCGAGGCCCTCGAGGATGCCAAAACTGCCATTTTAACATGCTGAAACCCAACGAGCACAGGCTTCTTCAGGGAAGGGCTGGAGAGATGGAAATGCCACCTTCGGGAGTAACTACACCTTGATGGGGCTATGCTGAGAAACAACAGCTTCCCTTGTTGATACTTGGGTTGAATAAAGATTTCTATGATTTTGCGGCAGTCCTCTCAGACAGATCCTCACGTGGAGAGCATCTACTGTGCATTTCAGCTTAGTTCGCACTACAGTACGATTTTTCTTCTCAAATTTTCCAGTCTCAGCGGGAGCACAAGAAAGCTTACACTCCAGCTTTTGAAAAAATCAATTGTCTTCCACCTCCTTAATCCCAGGCCTATTACCATTTCAGAAAGAGAACTATGTTGCTTACCATAAGCCAAGTCTACGGCTTTTGCACACAAGACCTTAAATCTTAGCTGCCCCAGAACAAGCCTCATGCGCTTACCTCCAGTTCTCTGGAGACAGCCAAGAGAGCTCCAAAATGATGCAAAGACGACTAAGGCCTCACCAGCTCCAGAACCTGAGCGAAGAAACCTGAAACTGCCCTTCCTTCGGGTGTTTACAGACTCCTCCTACACAGACCGTCCTTAGGAGTCCAAACCGACTCAGCGGCACTTACCCACAATGCCATCTACTGGCAGTCCTGGACAGTTTAACAATAGGGTCACTATGAGTCAGAACCGATTCGACTGCACACAAGGATTGGGATGTAAGATTTCTTAGACTTTTTTTAAGCGAAGTAGCCGCTGTACAAGGCAGCAGGTTTCTCAGAGATAAAAACCCCTACGGAAGGGCAGAGTTTACACTGAATGAAGAGGTTTCACAGGCCTGATGCAACCTAAATCCTCTCAGACAGCACAAAACATGCTCTTTGGCTACTCTTTGGAATCTGGCTTTTCTGTCCTGGATCCTGAGGTGCCCTGGTGGCGCAGTGCTTAAAGAGCTCAGTTGGTAATGGAAAGGTGGGTGGTTGGAACCCACCAGCTGCTCCCCTGTCTGCTTCCATAAAGACTGACAGCTTGGAAGCCCTATGAGGCAGTCCTCCTGCCCCCTGCAGGGCCGCTAGGAGTCAGAACTGACTAGTTGGCAGTGGGATTGGCTTTTAGGTTTGGAGCTCCAAAGAAGCAAATTTCTTTTGCTTGTTATGGTATGCCCACCCCTCCCGACCCCACACACTCAGAAACACAGGTGAATAATAAATGCTTGGATGGGTCTCTAGGGGACAACCTGCCGGTCCCCCAGCCCCTCCTGGTCACTCTGGTCCCTCCCGGTCCCCCTAGCCACTCCTGGTCACTCTGGTCCCTCCTGGTCCCCCAAGGCCCTCCTGGTCACTCTGGTCCCAAGCCCTTCTTTCTACACAGCTCTCAGCACACGCAGTGCCAGGGACACCTCCCTAAACAGCACTGCCTACCACACCAACACCCCATTATCACCATAAAGCCAGGCTTCAGCAAGCCCTGCTGTACCAGGCACCCCAGCATGCTCCACACTGGGGATCCCCTGAACATAAATGCTCCATCCCCCACCCCACCCCACACACACAGGTGCCAGGCCTCAGTCCACACTGTTCAATCTGACAAGCCACCCTCCGACCCCTTCAGCTGACCAATGAACTTAATGCCCAGCCTCTTCCTCCAGGAAGTCTTCCGTGATATAACCCGGGAAGGTTTCTCTACAACAGCAGGCAGCTTCCCGAGGTGTGTGAGGAGGAAGAGCTGAGGAGAAAGCAAAGTCAAAGGCCAAGGGCATAATCTGGAAGGTTCCATTTAACAACTGTGGAGGTCTCTTTCCCAGGTACAAACAAAAGGGACTGAGCAGGGATTCCTTCTCTTCAACAGGAGGGATAACAGGGACATCCCAGAGTTTCTGGGACGGGACTCCATGTGCTCCTGAGGAACGGCCAAGTCACACAAAAGTCATTTTGGTCTGACAGGTGGGCAGGGTTTGCTCGTGTCCTAACAGACATCTCCCCCTTCCCTAGCACCTCTGTCTACTCCTGTGTGGGGAAATACAAGACTTGTTCCTGGGACAATGAGAACTGGCCCCTAGGGTTTCTAGGCTGTCATCTTTACGTGGCTGACCCCAAGGGGCAGAGGAAAATAAGTTGCTTCACTGATGGAAGTTACCATTGTTTCTGGGAGGGTTTTGTGTTTAGGGCTCTTTTCAGGGGAAAGACTATTCCAGAACTAACCCCCCATTCTCCTTCTACGTGTCTGGTCCTTTTCCCATCCCTCTCTCCTCAGGCCTCCCGTCTGAGGCACCCTCCTCCACCCCCAGGAAGAGCACCCTTGTCCGGCCCTCGGGGGGCTCGCCTCCTCAGAACCTTGGAGCTCGGTCTCCTGTCTCCCAGACAGACCTCCAAACTCCAGGTCTCACAGTCGCCTCAACAGTGACAACTCCCCACACCCACATCTCAGCACCGCTCAAACCAAGGGCCTCCCTGATATCTTCACAGATGCCCCTAGGAGCCTCGGACTCACCTGGGCGGGCCCCCTCAATCTCCCCATATCTGTGAAGTATTGAAGTCGGCCCCCTGGGGACAAGGAAAGCCAAGAACTAAAGTGCTCACGTTGGGGCCAGAACCTTCAAGAAGCAGCAGGGCCAACGAGCCAACACAGTGGAGGCAACAGTCAGAATCCTCTCCCCAAGAGAGAGAGAGGATGGAGGGCAAGAACACCAAGGCCCCCCTTTAGGGTGAGCCTCAGCGGTGGGAGGTTCCGCGCCACTAGTGTGAACGGAAGATTGGCCCATCCGTGATGGACACTGGAAACAAACATACAAAACAGAAACAGCTGCCGGCAAGTTGATTCCAACTCAGGGCGGCCCCGTGTATGTCAGAGTAAGAACTACACTCCGTGACGTTGTCAGAGGCTGATTTCTCGGAACCAGATGACCACCAGGCTTTTCCTCTGAGGCACCTCTAAGTGGACTCAAATGTCACACCTCTCAGTTAGCAGACCAACACATTAGCCATTTGCACAACCCAAGGACGGCCTCAACAAACCCAAGAACGGCTCTTTCTTGCCAATGCAGGATCAAAGGAGGCTGGTGCACACAGGCCTTCTACGACTGCTACCGGGGCGCAGCCTCTCTAGCTCTACAAGTCCTAGAGCCCCGAGCAGACAGGAAGTCGGGGCGCACTGTAGTAGTCCTGGTGGCACATGACCCCTGTTTTCCTCAGACTTAGAAAAATGTCCCTAGAGCCCTCAGACAGAATGGTTCACAGCTCGGACCCAGAGACAAAGTTCAGAAGGCAGGAACGGGTACGAAAGAAGGACGAATGGAAACAGGGTACCACAGGGCGGAAGTAGGGTGAGTGAAGGTGCATTGTGGGAACTGCAATCCATGACATGAAACAAAATGTGCTCTGTCAACCTTCACCCAGTTCACAAGAAAAGGGTTCCACACACGAAAAGACAAGCCAGTGGTGTACATTTTACATTAGGCTTTCTCCCTTTATGAGAGAGCGTCGCCAGGGTGTGAGAAAACCAAACAGCATGCTCAAGATGACAGCAAAGACAGGACACCCTCCCTTCCTCACCAGCGCCACCCCAGCTGGGCCCGACTTCACCCAGGAGCCGCTATCAGTAAGCACAGGCATGCAGACCAGACAGAAAGCCAAGCGTCACATGCCTGAGAGATTCTCTCAGAAGCTTTGCAGCAAGCCAGCCTGCAGTGACAGACATCTGGGTGAGAAAGTCCCCCCATAGCCACCTCCATCCACGAGCAATTAGGTCCTCCAAACAAAACAAAACAAACATAGGAAGGCAGGCTTGTCGCCAAATACTAGGGGCCGGACAAGTTCCCCAGAGCAAGCGTTTGAACAGGTATCAAACACCTACAGGTGACATGCTCACCAAAGCGGAAATTCGAAAGGAAAACCAAACCAACAGAAAACAAGTTAGGTGGGGGAAGCCGGGAATGGGGGGGCTAACAGCTGGATGGCGCAGCGGTAAGTGGGCTCAGACGAAGCAGCATGTGGAGAAATGGAAGGACCATTTGGAATGCAATGAGGGCACAGCCTACCTTTTCACACCCAACAACATACTCACAGGGCGGTATGAGAGAAAAGAAAGAAAAAGGAACAAGCAAAAATTAGAAACACACCGGAGCAAAGATCGTATCAACAGCTCTAGCGCTCCACGTCCACGGATTTCCCGGAGGCTGGGGGCACGCATGAGCATTCTCAGCAAAACCTTCCAGGACTGAATCTCCCCCCACCCAGCCCCCGTAAGTCTGGGACCTCAAATGAGACTCAATTCTCAGACATGTGACGTGTATTGAACGTTTCCTTAATAAAGTACCAAATGCTGTCTCAGGGCAGGCTGGACACGTCTGACCCTTCCTACCGAAATGCAGGTGGGAGTGGGCTCTTTCCCGGCACCAATTGTGGCTTTGAAGAGGAGAGCCCTACGGAGCAGAGACAGCAAGGACAGGCTAATAGCTTGGGGAGTAGAAGGGGCCTGAGCCCACCCGCTATGCTAGATTGGACCACCGTGAGCGCCGCTCGATCCAGCGCTGGCTGATGAGCCTCCTTGCAGGGCACGATGGCATCTCCTGACTCCCATGAGAATGTCGTCTTCAAAAGGCAGGAAAGAGCCGGCATTCTCTGGGGAGCTACAGAAGACTGTCTCCATTGCTCTGGTTGAGGGGTTGGAGCTGCCTCACAAGTTTCTGCAGCTGCCCACCTCTCTCTCGGTGGAGAGGGGTAATCCAGCCTCCAGGTAGGTTTGTTTTGTAGGCTGCTTCCAGGCTCAGAAAACACAGGGGGATGCTGGGAGGTTGCATACTCTGTCATGGTCAGAGGCCCTGGCTAGCTCCCTAGATGTGGACGGCTGGGCGAAGCAACATGGTGAGGGAGCGATCAGTCCAGTTCAGACACCAGCTCTGCCATTCAGCAGCCATCCAGTTTCTCAACATGCTACCTCTGCTCCACATCAGGAAAACGGGGGCCATAGGTGTGGGTCATCAGGCTACCAGGAGGACAAAATGCAGAGACTGTGCCAATCAACACGCCCGGGTGAGGAAAGGGACATAACTCCCAGAGTGCAGAGCTCCACATGTGACCTACTCGTTCACGTTTCTGTGACGTTTTCCCCTCAGACTGCAGACAGCCCCGATGTCATCATTACAGCCAGACTACGGGAGCTTGTACGTCATGCCACTTAGTCCTCACTTGTGAGGAGCCATCCTAACTCTACAGAGGAGGAAGGGGACGTGTGGTCACGAGGGCAGCTGGTGGCACAGGTAGGCCCTCAGCCCAGTCTTTGAGACACAGCTGCTCTCCTGGCTGCCTGGTGGCCAGAACGGCAACATGGTGGACAAGTTAAGGGACAAGTGCAGACATAGGCACAGAGAGAACCTAATCTTTTTGGTCCTGGCTCAATGAGTCATGAAAACCAGGCTCTTCCGGCTCTATCCAGAGAACAGACACCACATCTGTTCAGGAAGGCCCTGCCCAGGTGGTATCTCTGAGACTCGCCCCCCGGCTGATGTGTGAGGGATCTGGGAAATGCAAAGTGCTGCGAGTTGGGAGACGTGGGCTCTATTCCAGGTCAGCTCCCACCGAGTCCTATGGTCTCTGCAGGTTCCGCATCTAACCTAAACCAAAGAGATGGGACCCAGGAGAAGTCTTCAAACCAGACTCTGGGCGGCGCTTTTCAACAGAGGACACGCAAGCTATGCTGGGGATTTGTAATCTTCCTAGTTGTCAAGTCTTAAAATGTAAGAGACAAACGGGAACCAGTCAGAGCAGGAAAACTCAATATTTTCCACTAAGACAAGGGACAGAACACTGGTGAGACATCCCCGATCAGAGACAGAACACTTGAGACACCTCGGAAATGAGGCCTGGTTCTCGGAGGGTTCATTGTAGCATGTTTTACGGAACCTAAGCGATGAAAAACATTATTGAACATGTACTCAATATAAAAAGGAGTCCTAGTGTGGCGCTGTGGGTAAATGTGCCAGACTGCAAAGTAGTTTGAACTGCAAGGTCAGTGATTCAAGCTCACCAGCTGCTCCTTGGAAACCCTATACAGGGTCGCTGAGGGTCAGAAATGTCTTGACGGCACTTCACAACAACATAAAAAAATAAATGAGGTATCTGATATTCTTGTCTCTGTACTCAGCCTCAAAATTTGGTGTGCATCCTAAACCAAAGGTTGGCCTCATTTTTAAAAGTGTAAAAACCAATACTGAACCACTCAACCTCCTGATACAACAATGTCTACCTGTTGATGATCCCTTCTGATATTGAGAAGAGACCTGAACCTGGGGCCAGGAAACCGGGCAGGGTCCCTAAGCAAACTTACCTACTATCTGTGTCCAATCCCACAAAGTCCTTCTTCTCAAATGGGACACAGAGGAGGGGGATCTTGTCCCCAGACTTGTCTGTGGCTCTATCCAGACGCTTGGATTCAAGCACAATGAAGAGTGATTCGATGAAGTCCTCGATGCGCTTCTCAACAGTCTCGCAGTCATCGTAGTTGGGGTAGAAGGCCACATCGGTGCGCGGCTGCTCCGTCAGCTCCCCCTGCAGCCCGAAGACGAAGAGCCGGGAGTCGTACAGGGTGGAGCTGTAGATCTCCTTCTGCACATGGAACTTCTCGAAGGTCTGCGGCCAGTCCTTGGCGGAGGTGCAGTCAGTGATGGTGATGAGGCCCACGACCTTGCGGTGCGTCTGGAAGTCACCCCACTCATTGTTGTCGGGCGGGTAGTGGTGCCGGTAGCGGATGTAGAGTACTCGCTGTGAGTCCCGCACGCTGGTCTGGTTCACAGAAGAGATCCTCTTGTAGATCCGGAAGAAGTTTTCTTCAGAGACAATCCCGACCGGCTGGACCACAACGAGGAGGGTCTGATGGTCCTGGGCGCACTGCATGTAATCGGGGACGCTCATCCTGGAACCCCTGTAGGGAAAGAGGAGCGAGATTTGAGGCAGACACCACCCTGATATTCCTGTCGGGGGCAGCAGCCAGGCTCTGAACATGTCAGCCCACGCTGTTGTTGCTACGTGGCCATGTTCAAGATTACTTGCTGACGGAATGGTCAAATGAAATCATTGAGCGTGACATCTTGGAAGGAGCCGCTATGGAACTGGAAGATCTAGATGTACGCTCTCATCTCCCCAAGTTCCTCAGTGACAATTCTGACTCAGATCAACAACCAGGGCAGAGTAGAATTGCCCCATAGGGCATCCAAAGCTATATACATCTTTATGTCCACAGACGGTCCCAGCTGGCCCCAAGGAGAGGCTACTGAGGCTGACTCACTGCTGAGTTCTTCAAGCACTATGCCACCAAGACTCGGTTCCTAAACAGGAACCCACAAAATGTACAGCCGTCACGTAATCCAACCCTGAATCTGTCTGGGTTAGGGCAGTTCCAGCAAAACCGGAAGGTCATTCCACCAGACCTACAGTTCTAATGGCAGGAAATTCCCAGATATGCAGCCCACTTAAGGCAACCATAGTTCTCCACCAAATACACACAGTTAGGTAGGTGGGTGTGGCACTGTAAGATAAGTACAGAGCTGCTAACTACAAGGTCAAACCTCAGAAGCCCTCTCCAGAAACAATTCATAGGAAAGCATAAAAAGAAGCGTTTGGACATCTGCAAACAAAATTTGGACCGATACTTGAAGGAAGGTAAAACTTTCTTTAAAAAAAAAACAAACATTGCTGGTGACAAGACATGGATCCATTACTATGAGACTGAGAGTAAACGGCAGAATCTGGAATGGAAACATTCAGGGTCACTATGAATTGGAACTGACACCATGGCACTTAACGAGTCTGGTAGCATAGTGGTTACGAGTCGGGCTGCTAACCTCAAGATCAGCAGTTCGAAACTACCAGCCGCTCCACGAGAGAACAATGAGGCTTTCTGCTCCCGCACAGATTTACAGCCTTGGAAACCCTATACAGAGTCACTATGAGTTGGAACCGACTCCACGGCACACCTCTACCACCAACGGCACTTAAAACAACAACAACAAGACAGCAGTTCAAACCCACCAGCCACTCCTAGCAAACACTATACAGGGTCACTCTGAATTGGAAAGGCATGCCACACATTTTCCAATCAGGCCCTATATGCAGAGAGATAACTCTCCAAAACAACCCAGAGCCTGAGGGAAAGGATCTCACTAAGCTGCTGACAAGGATATCATTTAATTTGAAAGTGACTTTAGGAAAAAAGGTCCCACCAGGCTCAGAGTTCAAAAGGGCAAAAGTTCTGAGTGGGTCACTCCACCACCAGGGGCCCAGAAAGGAGGATGCTAAGAGAATGAAAATGATTTTGCCATCCACATCGTGGCCCTTGGCCTGTCTCTGTCTACCGTTCACTTAACTAGCTTAGAACAAGCGACAGCCACTGGTTTAAGCTCAGTGGGGTAAAGAGCCTGGTGTGTTCTGTAGAATACTGGTCTACCAACCATAAGGAGTCCTGGTGTGGCGCTGTGGGTTAATGTGCTAGCCTGCAAAGTTGGTTTGAACCGCAAGCAGTTCAAGCTCACCAGTTGCTCCTTGGAAACCCTATAAAGGGTCACTATGAGTCAGAACTGACTTGACGGCACTTAACAACTAACCACAATGTGGGGGGTTCAAACCTAACAGATGCTCTTGGAAACCTCACAGCACACAGTAACAACCTACCTAGAAAAGTAGCATTCAGTACTTTAAACGGAGCAGTGTAAGGGGTTGGGAAGAAATGGCCCCAATGCTTTCAAATCCTTCTCAACTAAGCCAAGCCCTGCTTCCAACCTTTTACCCCTTTCTTATAGAGAAACTCACACCTTCTCCAATACCAGAAATTTCAGTGTCAAACCATTCTCTTAGAAAGGGAAGCTGGGAACTAGGGGTTCCAAAAAGACCCTCTTGCGGTCAGAATGCCCCGTGGGGCACTGGCTTCGTTGGGACATCTGGAGTGGACACTGAGAGTCTACTGTCCTGAGGCAGAGCCTGAAGCTCCGAACAGGATTTGAGAGGCTTTTACGCTGCAGGCTGCTAGGGGAAAGAGGATCAGGGCAGGACCAGGAAGAAAGGTAGCCCAGGTGGGCAGCCCAGGTAGCCAAGGTCTCAGAATGAGGTCTGGGTCTGAACCGGGGGCGCAACCCAGTTCAGGACAGCACGGTTTGATCTGGGAATGCATCCTGGCTCCAGACGGCCCAGGTCGGATCCAGCAGGTAGGGGATGGCGATCGGCGCCCTGGGCAGCGAGGACAAGGGGCCCGCGGCGGTGAGGGGACGACTGTCGCGCCTTGAGGAGGGCTCAGGTGGGGTCGGATCTGAGACAGGTGCGCACCCGGCTCGGGAAGGGGACGGGCCGGGCAGGTGCGCACTGGGCCCGGCGGTGGGGTTCGCTTCCCCCGGGGCGGCGACCGGGAGGTAACTGCAGGGCGAGCCCCCTCGGGGGACACTCGCCGACTGGCGGCCGCACGCCCCGGGCTCCAGTCAGCGCTCCCCGCCGCCGCCGCCGCCGCCCCGGGCCCTGGGCCCTGGGCCCTGAGCCCCCCACTTTGCACTTACACAGCCGGCAGCCGGGCCGGAGCAGAAGCCAACAGGCTGGCGGGCAGCGGGTGAGCAGTTTCGGCAGTCACTTCCCGACTCTGCTCTGCGGGTTCCGACCAGCGGCCGAGCCGGCTCCACTTCTGCGCATGCGTGGAGTACGCTCAGGCCGGCGATCCGCTCCGGGTTTTGACAGAACCGCAAGGGAAGACGTGGGGAGGAGATAAGTGGGAGGAGAAAGAGGGAGGGGG